TGTAGTGACGGTGAAACACGTTCAAAATGGCATACAGACTAGTGGCAGTTTGTGAACCTTTTGAAGTAATAATTAGTTGTTACGAGCAAGGCTGAGAGCGAAATGGCAAGACGACTTCTGTTGGATTATTGGCGTGGCAACTAAGACACTGGGATATAGCGCCAGGGTTTTGACATTCGTGATGGCAAGGGTAGGCTCCTCTTGCAACGAGCTTTCCAGGAAGCCCAAGATTGAAAAAATCGTCAAAAGGAGACCAAAGTCATAGCCCGGAGAATTATGGAATTTGAGGTGAGTCAATATCAAATTCAGTCGGCGTACATTTTCCGTACATAAAGGGCTTCAGAGAGCATGATATCTTGCGCGACTGTTGACGTAATTGTTGATTTGGTGCCGAGGATCAGTTCATGACTTGTATTTCTCGTCCCTTGGTGCTGTTGTCAGCGTGTTGTGGTCTCTGGCGATTTCATTCAAAGAGAGGGCTCGGACGTGGATGTTTTAGTGTTGGTAGATCAGTGGAAGGGAATGTGACCTCGCTCTTTGTGTGATGCATTAGGCCACCCTTTGTTAATTCATTGTTTAACGTCCTTTTTTTCGCAAAAAGTTACGCGGGAGGGCGAAAAAATACCAAAAGCCCATTCCAAAAACTGGAAACCCCAATCAAACATTTTGACCAGTAAAGCATGTGATATATACAATATTTCTGGGTCTAACGGTACTTGCAGGCATAGAACAACACTCTTTGATGGTACATTGGAGCACATGCCTGATGAATCCAACAAAACAGGTACATAGCATGGAGTTAGCATGTCATGAATTCATTACATCTGGATTTTTACTAAGACACACACCGTACGATATTTAAAAGCCAACAAAAAAAGAAAAAGAACACAAGACAAAAGCATGCCCGGGAGGCAAGATTATAAGTTTAAGGTCATGATTGGCACACTGTGAAACTACACAATCATGTATTTACAACTTTGCATATTATTGGTACTACTACTTTCTTGGTTTTTTTTCGGTCGGAGGCAAAAAGGTACGCGGGCGCGGACGTTAACAACGAAAAAAGAAAGGGTGGCCTTACGCTGAATTAACTTAGGACTAATGCCCTCGTAGTCAGCATTATTGGCCTCATTGGTTTCCAGATGTGGGTAAAGATTATGTGACTAATCGAGCGGTGCTAAACATGTTTGTTGTTTGTTTGTATTTATCTGCAAGAACCCAATAATATGAGAGCATAATGTGACAATGGCTGCGGCCAACATCTTCGTGTTCTGTTTCTAACAGATGTCAATCCACACTGTACTGTCATTGGTCATCTGCTACTATGCACTCACCGGTACTACAGTGATGAGTTGTCCAGCGACATGTTCGTGTAGTGGTGCACCTAGTTACACTGTAAATTGCTACAATCGCAGATTAACAATGGTGCCTGGTGGAATACCGAATACAACAATGACTCTGTAAGTTACCCATCTTGGAACATGCCATTCACATTTTCCACATCCGTTACACAGAATTGTTGGCATTTGCAATGTGATGGGATGATCTGCTCAAAACTCCGTATGTAATGGATATTCATGATCCATTGTTTATTAAAAAGCTCAGGACAAGAAGAAGCCATTGTAGCAAGTCGCATTTCAATTTAACACTCTCACCACCAGCAATACAGAAATCGACCCAATGTTTTCAGTTCATTACAAATTGGGGATCAACGTCGTTTGAAGACCTGGGCTTTCAAGCAAAAGCATCGCATTTACTCCTTGGTGAAGAATCATTGGATGACAAAGCTCAAAGGGTTGGTTCACATATCGCCGGTACGCGCCGGGAGTCAACGGGAGTGTGCCTCTGGCAACTTATCCTGGCGCATTGCGATTATGTGAACCAGTGCAGTCGTAACAAAATCATACGGTAAAATATTGTGATGGGACCGCCGACAAAGTTGGACAGTGCCCAACTCTTGCGATCTGCCTCGGCGCCGATCCCGTACAATTTTGACCAAAAGTGGTTTGTGAACTGTTCGCGCCGGTGATCGCTGGTGCCGGGAGCCAGACTTTGTCAAAATTTCAAACCAAGACTCATCCTAAATTTTCCTAAATTGAAGGTAAAGATGAGGTCCGTTCGCCATTCTTGTAGCCGTTTCAAGGTGGCAAATTAAGGAGGCCCAGACCACCAAACTCCAAAAATTAAAAAAAACATGGAAAGTTTATATATATAAACTTGGGAATTTGTCCCTTGGGTAGTGCTTATGTTGATTGTCCACAACATTGGGTGGGGGTCACCGATATGTTTGGCGTCACATGAGTTTTTTTTTGGAGAGGCATCGATACATGAAATTTTGCAATTTTTAATAAGAAAAAGCTGTTGTTTCCTATTGAAGTGTATCTTCGTCAGATTTTTGAGTCTAATCTATGCAGGCTGGAACTATGACGCATACTCACCATTGATAATTGTATTATGTTACTTTACTTAGGATATTACAACAATTTGGTGCAATTCGCAATTGCAGAAATATACAGTCAACTTCGCTTATAACGACACTCGACGGGGCATCACAAATTTGTCCTTATTCGTGAAGTATCGTTATACCCGAAATCTCATTATATGTATTACAGTGGGATGAGACTTTGCGCTGGGCATGAAAATTCTGTCGTTATTCGCGAATTGTCATTATATCCACAGTCGTTATTAGCGAAGTTGACTGTAGTACAAATACGTATGTATTCTGCACCATGGTTCAAGAATGAAACATGTATTCAGCGAATAGGTCTGGGAACACATAGTTGACAGATTAAGATTCTTTGTCCAATACTATAAACTAGGATTTACCGCAGTGATAACGGAGTGAAAAATAAAAATCACCGTGACAATAGGCCGTCGAAGTCTGACGTCACAGCTTCTTGACAACGCGTAGTTACTTGGCCAAGTGGTGACAAACAAAAGTCGCGTCACCTGCACCTGTCGTGTATCTAGAGGCAGCAGCATGCAGTAAAACACAGCTAAAGCATCATTTTGACTGAGGAGCGCGCGAGCGAGACTATTTATTTCAAATAAACTGCGACTGGTCGCCGAGTTTGTAGTTTTGCTTTGTAGAGAAGAAGAAGTTGTAGCTGATTTTTTGCTTGACCACTGCTGTGCCTGTACTGTCGTTCGGCTTTACATGTAGTCGCCGACCAAGAAGCAATGATGCGTGTCTCTGTAATTTCTATTGCAGAGATCGCTGATTTCTTAGTTCTGAGATCAACCAACTCTGGGCTGAGCTCGTTTCTTTGTCCAGCGGCAAGCAAAAGCCAGAACTCCTATCTCTCAGGTGCTGGTGAACACTCAGCAGGAAAACACTGCACGATGGCTTGAGAGCGAAGGAGAAACGTCTTGAAGTAAAACAAAATTTGAAGTCGCTATCTGCACCAACGTGCCCCAGTCAAAGTGATGCCGTGATCGTTGGAAACACGACAAGCGCAGGTGACGCGACTTTTGTTTGTCACCACTTGGGCTTGTAACTACGTGTAACTACGAGTTTTCAGGCAGCGTGACGTAGGCACTTCGACAGCCTATTGGGTTGTGTTTTGTGCATTTTATGGTATATACACGCAATAAATATATACTAATGTAAAATTTGCACAGCCAATGTGTACAACCAGACTGTATCTTCAAAGGTGGCATCCTCACACAGTCAATCGTGCAGTACTGTCGATATACAGCAATGGTTCCAACTCAAGACAGATCGGGCAACAAAAACATAGATGGATAACGAACACATGAAGACAATGACACGATACAATCTTTCCTCTAGTAATCTCAACTCCACGATCCGAACACACCCAGAGAAATCAATCGTCGATGTCCAAGAAGGAATAGTTTACGTGGCTGACGAGGACACCACGACGGTGAGTCGTGGGTGAGCATCTATCACGAACGTTGAGGTGACCATGCCAGGCGGAAATCAACAAATGAAAAATGTGTGACACAGACATTCGTCTCACCAGGACATCCTCAGGCATAAGCACGACTTCCCCCTTGCATCCTTCTGCCTCATGCTGCCCAGAGTCGTGCTCTGGTTCTTCAAGACTCACCAATCTCAGACTCCACAAAAGGCTCGACTTATTGTGTCGTGTTATTTCTCACGAAAGACTGAACGTGACGTGCAACTCTCTCCTTGGAACACCAGCTTCGAACAATATGCAGCAGTGGCATTATTTGCAGCCCAGTGCTAGAAATAAGTAAATCGAACGGCTATACTATGCAAAGAAAGGAAAGGCAGCCATTACAAACGCCATGGCAAAAGCAAGGAGAATCAAAACACAAAGCCCAATAACTTGAAGTTTGATGAGAGCACGCGGAAAAAGTACAAATATTACGTTTGCATGCTTCAAATCGCGCTTACAAAAGTACTAGCACACTTCGCTCGCGTGCCAGTGTAACAGGTAGCCGAGTGGTAGGCGCGGTGCAATAAACAAGAGTTAGTTTTATTCTACTTCTCTCAGGTACACATATGGGATATCATTATTAGTAAAAGAAGAAGCGGCAAAATAAATAACTTTCTCTCTGGTGCACACCTAGAGGTTGACTACTTCTTCTTCGAGTTAGCTTTGTCGTTGCTATCTTATCTCATTAAAACAGAAATGCGCAGCAGCTTTTATGCAGCAGACCCCGTACGCTCATATACGGAGATACACTAAATATACATAAGGTCAAGTTCCGTATTACTTCCGTATTAGCCGGGCAGGGATACTACATCCTCCCTTCCTACAGATAATCACGCCCTCGTGATTTTCAAAAATTAGCGAAGAGTGATGAACACAGCGTCAACCGGAAGATGGCAAATTATATCGGAAATGATAACGTTTAGAGTAGACAGAAGAAATGAACTGATAACAAATCATAACATAGAAGTAAAAGCACACCAGGTTCACACGATCTCTCGGAGTCAAAAGGGAAAGAACGGGCCTCCAAACAGGACGTGAAAGACAGCCAAATTTCTGCACATCGCGGGCTCAAACTGCCAGGAAATTCAAAATTTCAAAAAAAATGCAATGCATCGTGGGAACTTACTCCGGTACACACCTGGAGTGTAAAAGGGGATCTCACACACTTCTCTCACAAGGTTAGTTAGGTAAACCGTGGCTCACCATGATCAGACGCCTACCAAACTAAACTGGATTCACACACTCGCATAAATGAAGACTGAAGAGAATAGGAAGACTGAAGGAAGACAGGAAAGAAAATGCCATACCTGGAATCCGGAGCTTGTCTAACACTGGGAGGCAGTTGGAGCCACGTGGAGTAGGAGGAAAAGAAAGGGGAATTTACGAATAGGGCAGACCTAGCTAGGGGAAGACGAACGCAGCTTCGGGTGGTGCCACCTGACTTAAACCAATTAAGGGACTGTAAATGAACAGGGTGCTGGTCAAGAAAATTTAAATGTGCCAGGGTGCACTTGGAAGCATCAAGGTAGTGTTGCAGAGTGGTAGTGGATGCAGCAGCATGCAAGTCTATATTTGAGATATAAAGATCAGTACGAACTATGATGCGCAGTATACGGCGATGGAGAACTTCTAATTTACTTATGTGGGTATTGCTAATAGTGGACCAGGCAGGGAAGCCATACGTGAAGAGGGGAAGAATGTATGATTTATAAAAATTAATCCGGCAATTTTGGGGCAAATGGGACATTATGCCGACAGATCGGCATACTTTGGACGACACATGATCAGCATGGAGAGACAAGGAGAGGGCAGAATCTATGACAATGCCAAGGTGTTTATGGTGGGGCGCTACAGAGATAGGGTGACCGGGATCATCCGGAAAGTGGAAGATGGACACTAGATCTGTGGGAGGGAGAAAAAGGAGGAGCTCGGTTTTGGTCACATTTGGCTTAAGGTTCCAAGTGCTCACCCAGTGACCAATATCCTTGATACAGGTCTGAACTTTGGGGTACAGGGTGGCGTGAGATGGGGCGGAAGCAAGGACAGTGGTATCATCAGCAAACAAAGAAATATTGGGAATTGCACAGGGGAGGTCCTTAACGTATGTGAGGAAGAGCAGGGGACCTAAAATGGAGCCCTGGGGCACTCCGGATGTCACAGACTCGTGGTCAGATAAGGTTCCATTCACTGTGAAGCACTGATTTTGGTCCAAGAGGTAGCTAGTTATCCAGGCGAGTAGGGAGCCGGAGACACCATGGGCACAAAGTTTGGCGATCAGGCCCTTGTGCCACACGGTGTCGAAGGCATTGGAGAGGTCGAAGAAACAGATGCAGGAGACCTGCCGCTGGTCTTTTAGGGAGCAGAGGTCTTGGATTATGCGGGACGATCGCAGGGATGTGTTGTCCTTACGCCGGAAGCCAGATCGTGCGGAGTGAAGAAGAGGGGAGATATGGCCATACAAGCGGTCGTACACTATTCTCTTTAGCAGTTTGGAGACACAGGACAGGAGGGAGATTGGTGGGTAATTAGATGGGTTGTTCTTGTCGCCTTTATTTTTGTGCACTGGAATGACAGTAGCTGACTTCCATCGTGACGGGAACGTGCCGGAGGAAAGGGAAAGGTTAGAAAGTATGGAGAGTGGGCGGGCAATTGAGGAGCTCAGTTTCCTGAGGATCTCATTGGTGATCCTATCAGCTCCGGGGGATTTTTTCAGAGGCAGTCTTGCATTATACTTGTGAACAGTCGATGAGGTGATGATCAGGGAGTGCAATGTAGTTGCTGGTGGAGGTAGGGAGGAAATAGGGGGAATAGGAGCATCGGGGTCAACCTGTAAGCCAGCACTGACGAAGTGGCGGTTCAATAAGTTACCAATGGATGCCGGAGAGGTGCTTGTTCGACCATTGGGGCCCACCATCTTCGAAGGTATGACCCGGGCGCTGGTAGGATTTCGCAGTTGACGAATGAGCACAGGGAGGGATGGGAGGCGAGGGTTTGTGGGAGATACCGTGGCACGGAGGTTGCGGATGTAGCAGCGATGGCAGGATCTGGAAATGCATTTTACATAGGTATGTTGGTGTTTGTATTTTGTTGAAATTTGTAGGGGATGGGTATTTCCGGTAGATGCTGTAGAGATCACTGTTGACAATAATAGCTGCTTTCAGAGTTTCAAATGTTCTAAAGTTTTAGGAAGCGCAGAACGAAGATGATATGGCCTTTAAATTACTAATTGAAGCCACAAGGCATTCGCCCATTGCGGATAGTTCTCTAAAACAATCACAGATTCTGTTCGAAAAGCATTGACATTTCCAGAACCTTCAAACCTTATGGCACGCACTTCCTTTATTTCTGCTCCATTTCTTCACCAATATAACCAAAAAGGGGGGGGATTGTAAACATAACAAAACATTAAATAAACGAACCATAAAGAAGACCGAGGATTTTTGTAACTTTTCTATTGCCATGATCCGACGAAGACTATGAATTTCGTGGGTAGTCCCAGTTTAGGTATACTGTCATATCCAGTTCTCACGCAATTTGTAACAATTCAAGCCAGTATATTTGTTCACGCTTCGGCGGCCAGTTATTTGTCTGCATTGTCAAACAATGCATCGTTAGAAATTGTGTTTTCTTAGTTTTCAACAAACCTCTTGTTTCACAATAGGAGAAAAATGACGGAGACTATATAAACAGTGGTGTATGTGAACTGTGTGTCTGCAGTGTCAAACAATGCACCGTTAGAAATTGCGTTTTCTTAGCTTTGCAACAAACCTCTTTCTTGACAATAGAGGAAAAATGATGGAGACTATAATTATTAACATTGGTGTATGTAAACTGTGCAACCTAACCCAATTGTATATGAATCATGTTGTGGTTAGGAGCCTAGGTTATTTCTGAAAACAAGGTCATGATTCGGTCTTTTAGATTATAACTACAATATCCTAGACTCGGTGTTTTGTGCACTACCCGCAACTAAGCAAGAACAACATTGTCTTTGTGCTTTGTTGTTTGTAGATTATTGTATGATAATCAGATCCAGACTTTAAGTGATGGTGTGTTCTCTGGTCTACCAAACCTCCGAGAACTGTAAGTATTATCAACTGCACCACTGAACGCAGAGAAAAGTAATTATAACCGTGTGTATATAGAGTACTGCTCATGATCACTATTCTATATTGACCTCCACTAATTCTCGTGGTCCTTGACTGGTCCGTTATTACCCATATCGCCGTAATATCGACCGCTTGTATCGACCGCTTGAATCGACCGCTTGTATCGACCACTTAGGCATTGTAATCTTTCGACTTTGGAGGGACTTAGAAATTTTCTCTCCACTTAAAAAAGAACATTTGAAAGAAAGAAGACAAAGGAAGAGAACAAGCAGGATTCGAACCCACAACAGTATGATCTCAGGCAATCCCTTATACCACCCATATACCACCCAGTTACTGTGCTGCAGATGCTGAACCTTGTTGTTCTTACAGTCTTGTACCCAAAATAGGCAACATCCTATGTACACTATAGTACAAATGCTATACTAAAAAGGTTAAAATAGCTCCTAACGGTTCAAATGTTGGGGTTATGGCAAAGGAATCGCGATAAATAGGATATTGACCTCGACTTCGGTCTATATAGGAAATATAGGCCTCATAAAAGACCTCGGCGGACCTCGGTCTTTTACTCGGCCTATATTTCCCATATAGACCTCGTCTTGGTCAATATCCTATACATACGTGATGAACAAACCTCGATTATATAAGGAGTATTATTATCTGCTGCACTGATTGAAGGAAACAGTTGTAGACGCTGTGTGTGAAATGCTTTGTTATGAAGCCTCTGATTCTCGTAAGTGTCAGGAACGAATGACCACACAGCACGAGGACAACTGCTTTTTCTTAACGGTACATTTCGATTGATCGAACATAATAACTCAGTCTAAGACCACCAGATAATTATGTAAAGCATGCAAATAACAGCGTATACAGTAAATCGCACACAGCGCATATAGCGTATACCATGCATGATGCATCAGCGATATGGCGGAGTCGAAATACTTGGAGAAGTGTTGGAGCTAGGTGTCAGGTCTCCGAATGTCCCAGTACTCCTTGTCAGTTTTGTGCAATTTTGTCGCAATCGCTGACCTTATAAGATCTGGTCACGTTGATGGACAGTTAGTCAAAATTCGTAACATTTTTTCCTTCTCCTTTTTCACCATTATTTAATAGGCTCACCATCCGAGTTCAATTTTTCCTTATTCTTTTCTTTTCTTGCCATGGTTGGCTATCACCCCTCTCTCGCACTTTGCCTGCCAATTCGTCATGGACCACGAGTTGAGTGAAATAATTTATTAAAACGTTCCTCTTATATTATTTTTTATTTATTTTATTTTAAATAATCGACGTGGAGACAACAATTTTATAATAGCAATAAAGAGAACAAATTCTGCTGTCATCGCCAAACTACAACGAAGGCATTTAAGTTCACCAAAAATTAATTTTCTTGTCACATTCATCAGTGGAAAGTTGTGACTGAAGAGTAACCATGCTGAACAATGATTAAAAATACATTCAATAATGTGAACTTAGAAGTTGCGACTTCGGCGGTAATAGTCATGAAGTTGATTGTTCCAACTAGGAACACACGCTTCTTGCCGAACTTGACACTTGACTGACTCACGACTGCCATCCGGAGCACACGAGGAGCACGTCGCGCCTTCCACTCGGCAAACCTGCAAGAAAGCACCGCTCCCTGCTCCATACACGGTGTTTCGGGGAATTCACCCCTCATCAGTTGAGCTTGAGTAGGCTGAGGAAGATTGTGCCTGAAAAGCACCACTTATATACTGCTCTCCAGGCCAAACCATCAGCAGGGATACAAACTCACAGAGACGCTTTGTTTCCAGCGCAACAAACACCTCGTGAAGCTCCAGGTAGCAGCGTGAGTCAGAGTCGCTCATGGAGTTGTGATAAACAGACGTTGAGAGCCAGGATAACTATTCGCAACGCTGTCACCTCCAACAACTATTCGCACGTCCGCGTGAGGGACAACAATATGAACTTAGAAGTTTCGACTTCGGCGGTAATAGTCAGGAAGATGATTGTTCCAACTAGGAACACACGCTTCTTGCCGAACTTGACACTTGACTGACTCACGACTGCCATCCGGAGCACACGAGGAGCACGTCGCACCTTCCACTCGGCAAACCTGCAAGAAAGCACCACTCCCTGCTCAATACACGGTGTTTCGGGGAATTCACCCCTCATCAGTTGAGCTTGAGTAGGCTGAGGAAGATTGTGCCTGAAAAGCACCACTTATATACTGCTCTCCAGGCCAACCCATCACCATGGATACAAACTTACAGAGACGCTGACGCGGACGTGCGACTAGTTGTTGGAGGTGACAGCGTTGCGAATAGCTATCCTGGCTCTCAACGTCTGTTTATCACAACTCCATGAGCGACTCTGACTCACGCTGCTACCTGGAGCTTCACGAGGTGTTTGTTGCGCTGGAAACAAAGCGTCTCTGTAAGTTTGTATCCCTGGTGATGGTTTGGCCTGGAGAGCAGTATATAAGTGGTGCTTTTCAGGCACAATCTTCCTCAGCCTACTCAAGCTCAACTGATGAGGGGTGAATTCCCCGAAACACCGTGTATTGAGCAGGGAGTGGTGCTTTCTTGCAGGTTTGCCGAGTGGAAGGTGCGACGTGTTCCTCGTGTGCTCCGGATGGCAGTCGTGAGTCAGTCAAGTGTCAAGTTTGGCAAGAAGCGTGTGTTCCTAGTTGGAACAATCAACTTCATTCAATAATGTGTGATGAGAACAAATAGGGAGGGTGAGACAATAGAAGTGAAGTGAGAGCCAAGTGCAACGGCGGGTGAGAAACTAATTATTGTACCGCTAGAACTGTGTAGTGAGACAAATAATCAATGGCATGATTGGCTGTGCACCTACGAAAACAATCTTAATGCAACTACACGTTTCTTCTGCTTACAAAAATCAGGCTTAAGCAAACGAATAAGAACAGCCTCGAATACTTTCAGCTGACTACGGATATGCACTTCCAGGTCAGAGACACTGTTATCTAGCCAGGTCTCGGATACGGCTAGTATATCCAGCTGCTGTTCTATCATTATACTTTCAACTTCACACAGTTTGTGGCGTAGACTGCGTAATAATTATACTATTTTGATGTGGCCAATGTCAAGTGTACTACTGTGCTGGTTCGGTGTGTGGGTGAAACGGGGCGGCGTGTGGATTAAGCTTCATGCTGATCCGATTGGTGTGTTGAGCATCCGGGTTCAACGGGAGTGGGTCGGTGGTTTGAGCCATTATGCTTTAACGGGTTTGGGAGCCCAGGCTTCTGTACCAAATCGCCACTCTCTTACAGTACGGCCAACTTTGTCAGGCCAGAACGATTCTTCCGCGACCTTCTTGGCGTCCGTGACCAAGACTGTAATACGAGCAGAGGCTGTTCTAAAGTGCACGGAGGTGTACACGACGCTTTGTACTACTGATACACCTTGTGGGTTGCAGTTTTCAACTTTTGAATCTACATCGCAGTCCGGGTCAACATTTCCAATGCAGTACACCGTCACGCTGGGTCGTCCTACTAGTCCAGGTGCACTCTTGGGGGTTTTCGGTGCTGTGTACCGCGATGTCTCCTCCCCATGGTGGTTTGGCTTTTGCGTACGTTTGTCATGGCCAGGTGCATGCGGCCTTGGTGGCTGCCTTGGGGAGTCTGCGTACGAATTTTCTACAATGTGCTGTGCAGCTGGGCCTTGTGTTTGTACCGGTGCATGTGACAGGTCTGGGGTAGCGTCGGTACTCGTACTAAAGTGCATGGGGAGAGTACTACTTGTAGTAGTTCTGAGATGAGTTGTATCCCCAGGGTCAGCGTGGACGTGGGTCAAACGGGATTGGTGAACTTGTTCAGCATGCAGTTCACGTCGGAGCTTTTGCACGTCGTCCTTCAACGCCTGATTTTCCCTGTCGGAATCTCTCAGCTGTACATTCACATCTTTCATCGTCTTTAGCTCTGATTTCGGTTCCCTTACTACCCCAGTGAGTTCGGAGAGTGCGGCGCAAAGGCTAGCTACATCAGGGTTAGCATGACTTACGGGAGCCGAGTCCTTGGATCCTCTCAGTAGGGCAATCAGCATTGGCCTGTTCGCCTTTCTGGGGAACTCCAGTCCCAGTCGCTGGATGAACTCCTTGAGCTCGTCATCAGTAAGCACGGCGATGTCCGTATTGGGGTCGAGTTTCCCGGCCATTATAATTATTTACTGGTGTTCCATGGGCCTAGTGCCCCAGGAAACCGGAAAAGGGAGTAAAGGTCAGGAGCTCGCAAACTTGCATCCACCCCTGAAAGGTAAAAATTGTAATCATGCTAGTCATGGCAACGGAAGATAAAATTATGGAGATCGATCCGCGCATGGTTCGATCGTGAGCAGAGTACGAAAAAAGCACACATTCAAACTTTGCAACAGAAGCAGAAGAGGAAAACGAAAATGAACACTGTCGTTCAGTGAAGTGCTTCTGTGCTTGCACCCGACGGGGTGACAGCGCCCCTAGTCAGACAATACAAGGCAAACGAAATAGAAATTAGCTGAGTCACAGTGCGGGACTCCGAAACGAAAACCGTTGAGTATGTCAATATTAATTGTTCGTACCTGCTGTAAAACGTAACAATTGCTCAAATTCATAACGCAATTTCAAACTAGTACTCGTAGAATTGTAGTTCAAATGTGCCACTCGATTATAGTAACAACGACAAAGAGATAATCTTCTAAACATTTCTCTCCCTTCTCACTGTGCCGAAATTCACGTTGACCAAAAAAATACGAAAATTGACTATTGTTCTGAAATAGGCAAACAAGGAGCTACTCACAGAACAGCTTGTTGTTGTTGTTGTTGTTGTAGAAGTTTATTTAACGTCGCACCACAAACAGGCGATTTCGCCTCCTTTGATACATGTGGACGACAGAAGGAATGAGAGAGAGAGAGGGAGGGGGGGGGGGACAGAAGTACGGAGAGAGGAAGGGTAGAAATAAATAAGCAATCAACCTCAGGGCTACACCAAAGCAAAAATGG